TTGCCTGGTCACTGCTTGGTTTCTGGGCACTCTTTTTCTCTTCTAAGCTTTATCCATCACCATCCTCTTCCTCAGACATTTAATCAAACCGTACCAAGACATTGGTGGCTTGCTGTCAAAGTTAAGTGGTGCTGACTGCTGAGGGCGAGCGACAGGATGCAAATTTGTGTTTTGGCTTCTGTTTTTGGAGAAGAAGCAAATCAATCTTTTTAGAGGCTTATGATTTTCGGGATCGTAACTGAAGAAAGAATGGAGTACTGGTCAATATTAGGCAACATTGGAAACATTTTTGATCAGCACTGGAACTAAAAAAGTAGGTGTGGGACTCTTGCTAAACTCTTGCGTGCTAAAGACTAAAAGGTATTTAAATGGTAATAAAGAAAGTTCACAGTTATGTTGCTCATAGATTCTGTCTTTCTTGGGAATCATCCAACTCAGAATTTGCATCACAGAAGCTTCAACGCACTCTGATGTGTCTCTCAGAAACAATGATGTTTACCTCAACCTTACACTTACTGTGTAGTTGACACATTGTGTTCTCTGGTTTCCTGCTGTATTGATAAGTCATCATTATTTATGGCTTTTATGTAGGGAGAGTCCAGATTTACAACATGGTGAACGTTACTTCCTGCTTGGTCATCCATAACCACATATTCAAAATACCACCAACAAGGAGCATCAAAAGCACACTTTTTATATCTAGTGATGATTTACTGAAGTGCACGTCATCCAACATGTGGAATTCTTTAAAATGATGACGTAAATCAGTGGTTACCTCCTGAAGTAGACACTGAAATTGTACGCGTCCATCACTATAAACGTGTATGAAAGAGAACCACAGAATGAGATCATTTAGTCTTCATGTTCAGTAGGGATGTAACGATTCACTCAACTCACGATCATTTCACGATACTGGGTTCACGATACGATTCTTTCACGATTTATTTGACAAAATGAGAAAAATTTTGAGATAACTGAAAAAGATTCCTTTAATTTTTTTTCATGAAAACACAAAAAGGTGGGGGGGGGGGGCACAGACACATAAAGGACTCATGGTGTTCATGTGTGTTTCTTTTAATGACAGCAGTCAGTATAACAACTGAAAAATTATTTCAACTTGTAACCGTCATCAAACATGTGGAATTCTTTAAAATGATGACGTGAATCAGTGGTTACCTCCTGAAGTAGACACTGAAACTGTACGCGTCCATCACTGTAAACTTGTATGAAAGAGAGCCACAGAATGAGATCATTTAGTGTTCATGTTCAGGGTTTTTCCTTTCTCTGTCATCTTAGATGGAAGCAGTGACACTTTAAATTAAGGTTCACAATATTCATCATTAACTAGTTGCTTATTAGCATGCTAATTAGTAGCATACTGGCTGCTTATTAGTCATTATTAAGTGCTTGTTAGTACCTTATGCTACATAACTATAGTCAATAGCTCTGGTCATCAACTAAAAGTTTGCATGGTGAATATTGTGACCTTAATTGAAAGTGTTACCTTGGAGTCGGTACGAATGCTGACTCGTGCTTTGTTTTAAATTGCACAAAATAAAAGTTTGAAATAAAAAAGGCAATCTTACAAATGTTTTTCTGTAACATTAGCTGGAATTTTCAAAATGAAAAATGTGATTCTTTCACCATAGATGCTACAAAAAGTTAAAGGGGGCGGGTGATTTAAAAAAAAATACATCAATCAATGTGAGATAGAAAATAAAAAACAAATTCAAAATCACATTGTTTGACTCTTTCAGACTATTGTATTCGGTTAATCAGCAGTTAATCAATCCAAGCATCCATTTTCTTCCTCTATTCCGAGGTTGCGGTGCGTTTGCAGAAAGCGCAGTAAGCCACCTAGACGCCCCTCTCCGGAGCAAAGGTTTCTAGCTCCTCCTCGGGGATTCTGAGGCGTTCCCAGGCCAGAGTTTGGATCCGTTATTTCTTAACCATCCAACAAAACATTGCTCCTCCTCTAGCAGAATAAAGACTTACTAATTAAGTGAACCCTGGGTGGTTAAGGACACACTGTGCTGTAGATGAATGTCGAGTAAGACAGTAAAGTCTGAACAACACCTGCAGTGACCTCTGACCCCTGGCTCGTTTTCAGGACACCCACAGAGCTCCACTTTTTCCTCTCTTTAGCTGCTGTTGTTGTTGTTCCTGCAGCACATGCTGTTTATCTCGAACACCTTACAGTAGCATCCGTGCATACATTTCTAACGTGGGTGGTCTCTGTGGGATCTCTGACTTCAGTTACTTGTGCGCATGTTTCACTCCCGCTCTCATTTTCTCCCCTCGACTCGTAGAGTTTAGCATGGGCGGCCCTGAGTTCAAATCCAATTTGTGGCCCTTTTCCACGCATGTCAATCCCCACTGTCCCTATCTGCCTGATTTCTGACTCTACCCACTGTCCTGTCTTTCCACACACACACACACAAATAATACTACAATCATTGTAATTTAGCCCCAACTAAATTCTATATTTTCTGATGTCTCCAGATGTTTTATCTGCCAACAATCCAAGACCAAAGGAGAATGAGTTTATAATATTTAAAAGAGGAAAATGAGTACATTCTTACAGTTTAGAATCTGAAATATTTGACATTGTCTCTGAAAAAACCTTCTAACAGTTAGTAAATCTTCAAACTAGTTAACTCATTATTTTCTCCAAATGGACTAGAATAATCACCGAATCCTTTCAGCACCGTTCCACTCAGTGTTACGAGGCATGCGAGCAGAGATTAGGGTGCTGGGATGCTGCAGCTGCCTGTAGATGGACAGTTGCTCTGTCACTGGAGAAACGCCAACTGGAGCAACAGTAGCAGCGCGGCAGTATGACTGGAATGACTCGGCCTTACGAGCAGCACTGACCCCGTCACACGAACACAACAAGTGTTTCTGGGCAGCTCGGCATTCTCCGGATGCTGATGCCTTTTTAAGTCCCTCCATCTGAGCCTGAGGCCCCCCCCAAAGACATTAAATCTGTGATATTATCCACTGTTCTGACACCATTTATGATGATGCATGATTGTGTAATTGTGTTATGCAAGCTGAGCGATGCAGGGGGCTTGATTCATCGTGCTGTGGCGTCTGCTGAGTGTGATGCACTGTAAAGTTACGTGAAAGTTCCTTTAAACATCCTCCAAATTGTCTCAACATTTCAGCTTTTGTTTGCATTTTCCTCTGAGTTCAAATGTTGGTGTCTAAAGAGCTGCGAGGAAATGAGAAAAGAATCATATCATGATTATTTTCAAAGATATTTCATTGCAGTATGACTCATATGGCCCCAACCCTCCAACTGTGCGATTGTGAAAAAGGCTTTACAGTGCCTGCCGTGCAGGAGTTTGCCATTTTTGATGGACTCTTTTAAAATAGATTATTCTACTTCTGTTTGTAGACTTTACTTTACAAAGCGTCTTGTTGAGTGACACATCTGACTGTTAAAAGAAAGCAGGGTGAGTTTGTTTGGTCAGAAAACACGTATTAAACATGTACAGGACATCGTCTTATTGGTCCAGAATCGATGAAGGAGAGGTCCGTTTTCATTCAAGCTCAAATCATCCCAAACAGCCATCATAACGATGATCAGGGATGTTTTTCAACCTGCAAACATATAATATGATGACGCCATTTCTAGAGCATTGATTTTTAGATTTCTTTGTTTTGTTAAAATGGTTTTTAATTCAGGGAACATTCAGAAAGTAAATCTACGTATAGCTTCAGATTCCAATATATCTTAGACCAATGTCGGCCTAATAAATTTGGTTGACCTACATATTGGTCAGGCTTGTTGCATTCATCTGAACATTGCAGCACTTGTGAGTCTGTAGCACTTAGTTGGCCTCATTGTAATTCAAATCATATTTTAATCGATTGTGAAGCCGTCATATTTGAAGTCATAAGAATTAGCATGTTATAAAACTAATGCTTTAAATTAAATCAAAGCTGTGTCCAGTTTTTAAAAGTTCCAGGCTCCCTAACCATCCACATAACTGTTTTTTAATAGAATATCGTCCCCTCTCTCGGCAGTCAGTGCGTGACTTTAATAACCCGATGATTTGGTTTCATAAGTGGCACAGTAACTTATCCTTGTAAGGCAGTCTGGAGACACACTTTTAGTGAGAGGATTTCATCAATGTGAAATAGTGCTTCAATAAAAACCCAATTTATTGTTGGTACAAGGCAGATCTGAGCAGCTGCTTTGATGTTTTTCCTCTGGCTGTGTAACCATCCGTTCACTGAGCGGGATGTGTTGTGTAATTGTCCTCCGTGTGGCCTTTTCCGGGCCCTTAATAATCACACAGGTTCAAGATAAGTTGTTTGACATGAGAGGGATTAATAGTGTGCACGGCTGGTTTTTAGGGGGGAGTGTTCAGTCCGGACAATCCCACCGCAGACTCCCAAAAAAGGGCAAAGCTGTCACCTAAGAGAAAATCCCAACAAAAAGAGTTTTGGGCCGATGCCAAACCTCTGGGAGGAAGGAAGGTGTTAGGGATAGAACTCCTCCTTCAAATATCTCAGGGGGTCTTGTGTCAGTTTAGAGTCTCATGAGGTGTCTTTGAGGATCTTTCCTGTCTGACCTGGAGGATCTTTATCTGTCAGTCCTGGCCTGAGGTGGAGGACTCCGAGGCTGCAGCATGCTGAGGCTGTGGTAGGTAACTGGAGGTGGTGGTGGATGTTTTCTCAGGACAACTGGTCCCTGACTCACAGTTTCCCATTAATGAACGCTTTGTCATCTGCTTTACTCACACTCTGGCCGGGACTTTAGGTCAGAGTGGACTCCACAATGGCTTAAATAAATCTGGTGCTTCTTACATATCGTCACAGTTGAGTCACAGAGGTGGATCTTGCTGGATTATCTTTTTTAATTACATAACCGGGAATGCATCACACTCATTGTTACAGCATGCAACAGGCCCTGAAGATGTTGGCTTTTGCAGCTAGGCGTGCTTTACTTCTAAAAGGTGACGTTCCTTTCTGCTGTTGTTTTTGCTCAGGTCAATAAGAAGAGGGAGCTCCTTCTCCTTCCTGACACCAGGACCTCAATGGGACTTCAGTCTGGTGAGTAAAGGCTTCGTATTTTCCAGTTTGCAGATCACAGAAGTACTTGTGTTTCTCAAAAGGTGGTACTATACATCCTCAGGGTGTACTGGATTTATTTAAAAATGTTGTATTTGAAAAATTCAGATTCCTGAAAATACTATAATGAAGAAAACTTCAATCTTAGTGAGATAAACCACATTTTATTTTTTGGTATTCCTAATTTAGGGCCCTGAATGTGCTCCACAAATGTTTGCCTTTGCAAAAATCCACTTTTGTTACGGATAACAAATAGTTTAAAGGAGGTGTTCGCACATCCAACTTCATTTTATGAAGAAGGAAGCGTGTATAGAACATCAAGCAATCACATTGAAGAGAAAAAAATCCTGCCAATACTTTTTTCTCATCAGCAGCAATTTATTAGAAAGATATCACAGAGCTTCAGTTTCAGTCTGTCTGAATCATTTTCAACACTTGACAAAGGTTCAGAGGGACTGAAACATTGTGATTTTTTTCCACTTAATTGGTGATGCAGAGGAAGAGTAGTTTGTGGGATTGTTTTACTTCTCAATGTTACAGAAAACAAATAAAAGAACATGACAGATTCATGGTTGAAATGTAACAACAATGCAGCTGAAAAACGCAGAGACACACAAGAAAAGAAGCAAACGTCGATGATAATAGCATTTATGAAGAAAAATGTTTTGAGCTAACTGCATGCTTTGCATTTTAAATTGGCCAACAGCTGCATGAAGCCAAGTTTTCTTCTGTAACAACTTTGTTGTTAAGTCAATCAGATGTTACAGGGTTCCCTTTCTTATTCTCTTATGATGTTTTGAGCAGCCATTATGTTAAACCTGCATGAAGGAGTTCAAAGGCAAGGCCCAAAGTTTGGTGTACAACTGACCACACACTCCAACACAGAGCTACACCTCAACACTTCTGCCCAAAGAATCTCTAACTGCACCAGATCCAGACATCTCTCCACCAAGGTTATTGAAAGATATCTCAATAACCCTGAATTGCGTATGTCTGCGTAGATCTTCAGGATATGTTGTTTCAGCATCAGAAGCACAATGTGTGCATGTTCTTATAGTCACATTACAGGAGGTTAGGTGTCAAATGAGGCAAATGACCTCAAACGCATCATGCTTCAGCTTGTTTGCTGCTCGATACAAAAGTTTAAACTCTCATGGTTCTCATTTTACATGACTAATCCAGAAGAAAAGTCAGTCTGATATTATATTACAAGTTCATCCCCTTCATGAGAACACAGAGGGATCGTGAAGTCATTCCTGGGACGCTCAGAGGCCTGGCTATGACATGTTTGTCACACATTGCTCATCCGGCATAAAGACTATGAATTTCGGACATGAATAAACAAAGCAGCATCACACACTTCCACTCATAAAAGGTTTATTAGGAAAGAGTCGATTTTTCATGCATAAGGAACAATGCAAGTATGTTTTGAGATTTTTGTGGTTTGTGTTTTCATAACTCACCATTTATTGCAGAAAAAATAGATACTGCAACGTCAAGTTTTCTAACTTTACAAGTTATGAGGTATTGGGCATAAAAACTTCAGGAGTTTTTCAAGAGTTTTGTGCAAATGTGAAAGCAACAACAACATTCATAGGTTTTTGTTCTCTGGTGTCCACTTTGGTCCTAAAGTGTTCATAGAACTGTGGAAAAGCTTGGCATTTTAACTGAATATGTTCAGGAATCCCACAGAGGTTAATCAAACTCACCTACAGCTACTTTAAAGAGAAAGAGAAATGTGCATGGTGGTCCACAGGGCAGACAAAACGTGAGAGCATGCCTTGGATTTCTGCCTCGTTTAAACACAATACACAGCTCTTGTTTGATGTTTGCATTTCGTCTACACGTTTACTTTTACCGTTTGCCGTCGTCTCAGAGAGCGCTCCTGGCTCACCCCTGTCGTGTCTTCTGTAGCACCCCTTCCCGTCATAACGATGTGTTGGAGCTTTAAATCTTGCCTCACAGTTTTCAACACAGTCTGGGAAACGGCGGCTCTGTTCTTTGTCACGGCGCTGAAGCTGCTTCTTTGTTGGCCTACAGTCACTGTTACCCAGATTAAATATCCAGACGATGGACTTTGAACTGGTTTACACTTGATATTTAACACAAAATGAGAGTTTAAAACACTCGAGAACGGCTAGTTCTGGAGAACATTTTAGAGCAAATTGCATATAACGCCAATCCAATGGGCAATATGTATATATTGTAGCCTCTTTATTTATACAGCGGGCTCTAAAAATATAGCATCAAATTGTCTAATACAACTTAGTATTTAAAGCTAAAAAAATTAGATTTTACATTTGCAAGAAATCAGAGTGTACAGGAACAAAAAAAAGTCTCTTTTGTATGCTCTGCAGGTAATCAGAAACAGAGGGAAGGTGTCCGCTGTTACGTTGTTCTTGTGTGCAAAGATTGAGGTGCAATGACAAGTCAAAATTTGAACCTCTTAATGTCAATGTTTTAATTGTCTTGTGCAGCTGGTGGCTTTCTGGGTGTTTTCTTAACTTCAGACTAGTTCTCTAGTAGGGCTTTGCTCCGAAAATCGAAATGGCAAAATAGCGTCATGTGCTCCTTGTAAATACATGTGTCCATGCAGATGTTACAGAATCGATGTGGCTGCAAAGCTGTGATGACAGTTTTGAAAGACAATTGACCTATGGTGTTGTTCACAATAACGGCAAAGCCCTAGCTCTGGGATTAAAATATTTTAATGTATTTCTAGGACCTCTGAGGACATGAATTGAAGTGTTCAAAGTTGTAGGATCCTTAATATGCCGCCGCTGTTATACTCAACGATAAATAACAGCTGTTTTCTGTGTAGGAAGTGGTCATTTTCCAAATTCAAAGTATATCCCGATAAGTATCGTATCTTGGCCTCTGTATCGTGATACGTATCATATCGTGGGGTTGGGGGAAATACCCAGCCCCGTTCTCTAGTCTGAATTTCAATTTCTGTTAAACTGACAAGAAAATTAGTCGCTAGGAACATCTCTAATTGTGACAACCTTATTTCATGTTATTGTGATCTCTGACAATGCTCCAAGTGAAGAGCTGGTTTGAAAGTAATTGCGTTTAGGAGAGTACTCCCCGTCCAAAAGCTTGTTTCTCTGACCTGTTTTTAAGATGTGAACATGGCCGCTGTATTCAACCTTCAGCAATCACCTGCTTTGATCTTCATAGCTTAGTGTAAGGAATGCTATCATCAGAGAGAGAGCTATAATATCTGCTCTAAATTCCAGGCCTGCTTCTCTTTTGGTCGCGCTCAATACTGAGTGTGTATCTCCATCTAATTCCTTACTGAGAAGCTGCTCTGACTGCCGTCATGTGTCTCCTTCCTGACTGAACAAGGCCCGCTAATGTATCCAGAGACCAAACGCTGGATAACGTGAAATCCAGCCTGCTCTGATTTCTTCTCCCCCTCCCTTCCCTAACTGAGGAACATAATGGCCTACAAACCTCTGCTGCCTCTAATAGACTGGCCCGCTTTGTGGTTTACAGTCGGCCCTTAAATGAGACGAGCTGATTAGAAACAGAGAGTGAACAGATTAGACGGCGAGCGGCATGACGAGCGTGGAGGCAGTCCAAGGGTTTTTACAGCTGCCTGAAACACAATCCATTGCTGATCTGACGGCGGAGCAAGGGAAATAAAAGCAGCGTTAGAGAGAAAGCCAACAGCTCTTTATCTCATGCCAGCCTTTGATTCTCAAACGTGGCACGCTTAGCTCATCCACCAGAACCATGTGCGCCTCGTTAGCTCGCCCTTTCAATTTACTCCCCCGTTTTTTTTTGTCTGTCGTTTATAAATCCACCAAACAGCCAGCGATCAAAGAGTCCTGGATATGTCTTTGTCTCGTTGCCTCTCTTATCTCAACCCTGCCACTTTAAGCTTCAAGGTTCTGCCAAGGCTTTGGATAACGTTTAGCCAGGTTTGAAGTGGTAAGGAGGAAGGGGGGGGGGAGGTTGGGAAGGCGTGCGATGGCCCTGAGGCGAACCTTGGCGAGCATTCCCCGGGCACTTGGTGCATTCCCTCAGACTACATCAGGTACGAGGCCTCTGGGGGCTTTCTGCCACGGACGGGAATGTGTGTCAGGTTTCAAGCCCAATGCCAAGGTGGAGCACATCAAACCCAACTGGCGTTTGGTTGGAATGTGAAGGTAATTAACGGCGGCAAGAGTCAGATTCTGAGTCTGTTCATGCAACAAGTTAAGGCGGACGGACACGTCAGCCTCCGGAGTGTCTCGTCTGATAAGAAGCATTCCAGCTTTAATCAGATGATTTAATATGAGGCGCGTCAGCCCTTTTCACGCAAACTTTGATAATTGTTGTGGTAAGGCCTTGCCCATATCAACAGCAATTTATACTCAAACAAAGGCTGACTTCTCCAACCGCAGACTGTCTGAAGATTCCTCAGCATTCCATCGAATGGGGGGATTTAAATCACCCAACCCCTGATAACATTTAATGCATCCAAGGTGCTGCTCGTACTGGATCAGCCCCGTGCACATACGTCCCACTTTGATGTTGCTTCGCAGCTGTGCAGGCTCTTGGATTCATGCCAATCAATAGTTGATAACACATGTTAGAGAAAATTACATTTTTCCACCTGTTTTAACAAGCTCCCTGTGATGTTTTACAGGCTTCTGACTGTAAATCCAATCACATGGATGTATGTTGCAGTGCCGCAGATATTGCCCGTAACTGATCAGTTTTGAATAATTTCAATAGAGGCACAAGATCCAAGCATTCAGAACATGCAGTTTGTTGTTATACATGAACAGAAGTCAAACTACATGGCTACCAAATGTTACATCTAGATGTGAAATAATTTGATTGCAAAACTAAATAGCCCTTCTAAAGATTAGTTGTTGTTTTTTTGGTGTATTCAGTGTCCTTCTGGATCCTGAGAGATTTGGCAAGAACTTTATATTTGTTGGAAAACTTCAGAATTTGTGTAAAAGCAACATACCTGGGCAAATTTAAAACAATCATGGAAAACATGCCAATGCATCTTTAAATAAAGTGATTAAAGATAAAGCCTGGCACACACTTGAGTTTTAAAATGTGACAGAACCCACACATGTCGACAAATCATGACAGATTTAACAGATTTGTTTTTACAGTGTGTTGTGTGCAACGAGACGGCCAACTCAGCACACCACGCACTAACAGATGAATTCACCAAAAACCAGAGTCTCCACTCTCAAAACTCGTAATCCTACGCAGTCAAACTCGACAAATTAAACAATCATGATGGTCAAGCTAATTGTGACTAGCTGTTAGATAGCAGATAGGGAAGGTATAATCACTAGCCCTATTCAGACTGATGCTTCAAGCCTTCTACTTGCGTCCCTTGTGCTTACAATATCAGAGGTTATTATTGCAGTACAGTTGAGTTGAGTTGATACTCATCTTATTGATAGATTCATGCCATAAGCAGCCCCAGTTTAAGCTCAGCAAAAGTTCAGAAGCCTTCAACTGTTCTACTCTGGGCGGCCATACACTGCTTTGCATGAATTATTTGTGTTTGAACTATTTTATTCAAACAAGAAATCTGTAAAACATAAAGCATGCAGATGTATAACAGAGGCCCTTCAAAGTACTCTGCACTGTCTGAGAAATGCAGTAGACATTTTTAACAATGGGCAATAACTTCTTCAATCGTAACCATTTCAATGGATTAAAACATTTTTTTCAAAATGAGATGGAACAAATGGAGCGTGTGCAGGAGGTGGCTGAATGTTTCCCCTAATAACAGCATGTTTACAGATCTCTGCAGAAGTCTGGGGGCATGTGTAGTCAGTCGGCACAGCAGGTCATGTTTTACTGTCATTAACATGTGACTGAGATGAAGCAGGACAATGAAGGGAGGGGGAGGTTTGGGTTTTTCTCCACCCAGCTTGTTGTAACGCCCCCCACCCACCACCTCCAGCAACAAACATGTTCCCTCTAAATTCAACTGAATACACACTATTTAATGCGTCACCATTGCACAAGACGAGCCCATTGACTGTCAGTTTGATGAGCCGACTTCAACTAGTTTCTGTTCTATCTCTCTTCCTCTCTGTACAGTCAATATTGATCTTCTTCTTTACTAGTTAAACATTTCTGGGTTATTTATTATTTAATCCAGTCCTGGGTCAGAACAAGAAGCTTGTCAGGTCAAAGGATTTTTTCTTTGAACATGCAAACTATGATGTCATGGCAATATGAAGTTGTTTGAATCTGGCGGGTCGAAAAAAAACAAGCAGGTACTCCAAGACAGAGAAGAAGAAAAAAAGCCTTTATTGTGGGTCTGAAGGTGTTGAAACTTGTGTGCCGTGTTCCTCAAGTCTGTTTCTTTTGTCTGCACACATCATCGTCCTTTTTACGTAACACCCTATAATCTGTCTTCGTAGATGACTAACAGACTGACCTGTCCCAGGTCGCAGCAGTTTCTGCAGCCTCGGCGGTGTAATGAGCTAAGAGGGAGGCCGTGTTTGTTGAGTCACCGTATTTACGTTGAACCCAGCCCACCTTTTGAACAAGTCGCTGCTTGGAGTGTTATTCCATCTGCAAGCTGCTGACGGAGGGGTTTCCAGAAGTGGCAGGAGCAGGACGGCTAATTTTCTCCTCCTCCCCCGGTCATGTCTGTCTTTGCACGGAAATAACTCCAATGCTGTTGTGTGTGTTTTTTTTTTTTTTTACCTTCTGTGTAAAGTTTAAGCTTAAGGCAGTGTTTAACTTGGAGGGAGCTTTCACACTTTGCACGCACACTTCAGGGACGGCAAGCGGCAGACTGCAGCTGACACTGCTGTTCAGGATTTCCTTAGTCTCTCTTTTCAGAAGATGTTTTTGTAACCTAGTCTTACTGTTATTCTTGTCACATATACTCTATAACTCCTTCTCTCACACACATACACAAAACTGTTCAATCAGCAGAGTGTGAAAAGTAGATTTTCTGCCAAAATACGGTAAAAACATGAAGCTCTCCAAGAGTCGGCCTTCAGATTTCACCTCAGTGACCAGATCGTGTGCTGGCTGTAGCTTTACACGTTTCTGATGTGCCATTAATTTGTTACTCATGCGCAGGGTTTCCAAAGTGTTTATTAGCAAAACAGGCAACCTACGTCACCTGGATCAATAGTTATTTCTGCTGACGTTAGACGAACTTTAACATTTTAATAAAACGAACACATGCGTGTTACAAAGTAAGGAGAAAGGGAAAGAGGAATTACAGCATTTTAGCATCTTTTGAGGTCAAATAGGTGAAAACATGTTTTTAATTCCATCACTTAAAGCAACAATGTGAAACTTTTCCACCTTAAAAAAGTTGTTCTAAAGTCGATCTAATAACAAAAAGCCAATTTCCAAAGATCGGCCCGGTTGCCTGCCAATAGTAATAGAAGTTTGGCAGCGGAGCCGAGGTGTTCTTCCGAGAAGTTGGTACAACTTTACGGCACCAGTTAGCCCGTCTCTGCACGGTTTGATAAAATGACTGAGGCTGAGAGGACGAGGACGGTGACGGATGAAGCTAAGAAGAGCAGTCGTTCAACCAAATTATCAAAATGCCAGAAAATCATCTGACCTATCAGGAGATCAGGCCGTCATCCTGCGTCCGTGTGTACTGCACAACCGACACCGAGCGCCTGGTTCAGCCCGTCTAAAAAATCAGATCTGAATCGTTTTTAAATCGTACAGTGTACAACCAGCTGTATAGGGGTTTTAATGAATTCTTACAATCCACGAAAACACTTTTCAAAAATGTGACGCATGCAGGAGTTCTGCACTTCCCATGTGACCCATTTAATCCCTTAAAATTACTTTCTGTATAGTTGAAGAACCTCCAGTATAACTTGAGTAAAAAGTAATATAACTTTTTGTGTAATGAAGTTTTATCACTGTCATTCTAAAGCATCCTATCATAGCATTTAGTCGAAAGTGACAGCAGGTGATGAGCCCCTAAAGTTTAAAAATCGTATTTTTAACTGACCTTTCCTGTTAGCCTGTTAGCCTGTTAGCTTGTCAGGTCATTTCTTAGGAAGCATTTAAATCGAGCGCCGACCTCGTCATCCGTGCTCAGCCGGGGCGCTGAATGAAAGTCTGCTGAGGAAAAGTGATTTATGCAATCTTTTGTTGTCATTAGCAGCTATTGAGATGCAACTTTAAACGAACTCTCTCTGCTCGTGGTCATTTCAATGCAAACAGTCAACAACACCCCCTTCCCGAAAACTTGTTTCAAATGTTGGTGGAGCAGGTTACTTGTATTATTTTTCCACACACACACACAGGATATTCTCCACACACACACACACACACACACACACGCTCAGCTTAGTCATTCATCATTAGCCACCCCTGACCATTATGTGTCCATTTTGGCCCTCCTCACCTCGCTGGTCAATCAGGTCTTGACGTCCTGTGAGTTTGGCCCGCAGCAGTCTGGCCTGCATGCTTAATTGACCGCAGCGAGGGCACCCCGGGGCTCCCAGGGGCCTCCAGGGCTTTAACAACCGTCCTCATCCTCAACGGGCCAGACTGCTGTTCTCACCTGCTAACTGACTGCCGCCTCACAGTCAACATGCAGGTGTTAGAGTGTCCCGCTGCCTAATTAAACCTTTCCTGTTCCCTGCAGGACCTCCAGCAGTGTCTATTGAAACTTTTACAACAGAGCTACGGAGGCAATGAGCATAATTAGCCTGAAGTACGACAGGGCAATGGAGAGGTCGTAAATTGCTCTACATGTTGAGGGTGATCAAATTCACGCCGAGACAAAGATGTGTACTAGAGCCACACAGCAAAGAGAATACATGCAGTGTGTTAGCTGCTTCTATTATACAACTGTGCTCTCCAAGAAACCTGGAAGAGGTTTACAAGCATTTTCTCCAGGGGACACCATTACCATCTTTTTTTTTTATAAGTTATTGACAGGGTTCCCTCGGATCCTAAATGCCTTGTTAGAGGTCTCAAACTTTAGATGTCACTTTGACTCAGGCATGTCTTAATACTTCTACACTGTCTAGTCAGCGTTAAATTAATTTTTAATTATCTTTATTGTGGCTTTGCTTGTTCACATGACAATTCACTGAATGTACAGCCGTTGTGTTACGTATACACATGAACAAGCCCATGAACTGCGGGCGCTGGTGTCCTATGTGCAGAGTCCCGATAGCAGACGGCCCGGGTTCAAATCTGAGCTGTGGCTCCTTCCCCACTCTCTCTCTCTCTCTCTCTCTCTCTCTCTCTCTCTCTCTCTCTCTCTCTCTCTCCTGATTTCTTTCTTCTTTCTGTCTCTAAAATGGCATGAAAATCCCAAAAAGAAACCTTTAAAAATATTAATTATAAATATTTTGATTTGAAAAGATGCAGGAAATGTAGGTTCAAAGAAGGACAAATGGGGAAATGGAAGTTTAAAAGAAAATTGGCTTCAAGATTAAAATACATGGAAATGGTCAGCAGGGAAGAACAACGATTATCAGAAGAACTTTTTTAAACTTTGAGACAATGAGAATCAAAGTTGAGTCAAAATCAACAAACATAAGCACAGATGCTTATAAGCACGGCAGAAATAGTATAAAATAGTATCTTTTGGGCGTTAAAAATGTCTTTATAAAGGCGTACATTTAAAAAAATAAATTGTGCAGCAACCCTGATTTGGAGCCTAATCATACATTTGTTTACTGTAGGCTTCAGGAAAGAGGGAAAAAAGTGAATAAACATGAACTCCTCAAACTGTGTGTGGGAGATGTTTGAATGATTTACAAACATGTTCCAGTCACGCACTCTGAATCTTCCAGCTAACATCCTGTTTCTTAATTTTTCCACAGAAACGAAAGCGAAAAGAGAAGGATGACAGCGACGCCGTCAGCCTCTGCAGCTTCGACTTCAAGGTAAATCAACGTCATTATCACCGGACACAGCATCACGTTAGATCATATAAACGACACCGGGGATGTTCAAACCATGAGAACACGACTTATTTTTTTGGAGTTTGTTTCAGCTGCACCCATTTGTCTTTTTAACCCTTGTCATAGTGTTGAAGAAAAAGTTGGTGATATGAACACAGCGACTGATACAACAGGAATAGATGTCCTCAGGTGTAGGTACACAAAGATTTAGATTTGCTCCTGTTGTTTTTTTTTTAGCTAGCAGCTGCACAACAGGCTGTGATGCCTGCGAGGTAATCTGTAGGCATTCATGACAAAATACGCAAACTTAAAGTTCTTGTTTTTGCCAATGACAAGTTAAAAATTAAGTGTTAAAATTACAGAAAGGATCCTTAAGGCAAGATTTGATGTAAAAATAACAACGCGGAAGTAGCGGCTGAATATTCGGCTGTTTTTTTTTTACTGGAGGAAACTGCAGCTCAGGTTTTAAAGAAGAAGTTCGAGCAACTTGGGGCCTTTGTATCTTTGGCATGGTAACAGACACAGCATGTAAACTAGGCCTCTTATCTGAGTGTCTCATCTGTTTCTACATACATTCTTAATGAGTAAGCATATCAGAGGAAGACATCTAGATAGAGCCATCATGTGTTTCTTTGGAAGAGGAGGCAGTCGAGGTCTGCTGTTTGTTACGAAGAAGCAGCTTCTTCTCTTTGAGAGATGTGAGGCTGCGGGACTGGCCCGGTTGGAAAATACACCTCACTTTGTGCGTGGGTGTGTGTGTTTTAATGAGCACACCTACATCTCTCAGTGCTTTCTTTATAACCAGACCAAATGTAGTTTCATTATTATTTCCTCCAGACACGTCGGTTATCAGACAGAAAATGTTTTTCTGTTAGTCGTCGCGCTCATATTTGGGTGTAAAACTCGTCTTGTGCTGAGGGTTACACAAATGTACTGAACGGTTTATAATGAACTTAGGGCCTCTCGTCTTGTCCCATGCCGGCTGTTTTTGTCCTGTGCCCACAAGAGAAGGATTAGCAGAGACGTACAGCCTGAACTTCTGTAACCAGTCCGATCAGTTGCTGTGATTCTAAACTAAACAAAGCTCAAACAGAGCTGTGCAGAGTCGCGGGGCCGCTCCTTGATTCATATCAGCACAGCGCCCAGCGTTCTGCCCTGACTTTATTTTATTTTTCTAATTGAGCCTCTTGTTGTGCAGATTAATCCCCGCACACCGTGTTCGCCTACAGGAGCAGTTAGAAGAGTTAACCATTTGGCTGCTGGTTTACGGCTGAACTTTGGCTCCGACTCCAAATGGAGCTTTTGTGTTTATGAGGCAGAGCCTTAGAAACTCTTTGCAGGAATTAATTTTAATTAGATTAAAAGGCTGCAAACATTTACAGTACTTAATTAATGGGTTTCTCTGACTGCCAAATAAGGTCTTCACATGTTCTCTTCTCTGGCCACCAGTCACAATCTGAGGACATTTTATTTATATGATATATGGATCACAATTTTCATATGCGAGACTAAAAACGGGGAAAATAAGAACATGTGTGTTGCTTGAATAATTTTGTCAGTGTTTGATTGTCATGAAACTTTGGTGCCTACTTGATTTTTTACACTTTAAAATAGTGCATGTGGGCTGCATATGACTGATTGTGAATCATTACAGAATATAAATATGAATTCCCTGGGATTGCACATTGTGTGAATAACTAGTATTATATAAATAAGTAGGGATACACCGATGTACGGGTTTAATGTCGGTATCGGCCAATATAAGCCCTGTTGACACACATCGGTAAATAGTGTGGCATGAACCGATGTCAGTAGCCGATGTTTGTCTGTTTTGTTGAATCAATTTAGTGCTGTCATCTAGTTCTCCTAACTACTGATTCAGAGAAGAAGTTTTGAAGTAGTTTGAAGAAGTGTTTTGACTTTATTGGGCAGGACAGTGGATAGGGTCAGAAATCAGGATGAGAAAGAGTGAGTAGGGAATGATGTGCAGGAAAGGAGCCACTGTATTTAGATATTATAGCAATGGCTAAGGAGAAGGGGGATTAGATCACATGTGACCCTGTGTCATCCATTCAGCTGTACCACAGAGCTGACGGATTGTTGTGTCCTCAGACTGTCCTGGACGTCCTGCTCTCTCTCTCTCTCTCTCTCTCTCTCTCTCTCTCTCTCTCTCTCTCTGTCTCTCTGTCTGTCTGTCTGTGTTGTTTTAATAGAGTTAGCAACATGCTCTCCACAGGCCCCGTCCTGCCTCTGATCATGCCCGAGTGCTTTTTATGATGTTGCCACAACATGATCTTTACTATAACTGACGCACATGATGTTTTAGGTTTCATCACCGGAGCTGCAACTCGAGTCTGAATTCTCTGAAAAACTCAGAGCTGGAAAAGTGAAACCTTTGGGTTTTAAACTTTCCTTTCACTGAAAACTTTGTTATTTGAAGATGTCAGAAAAAAACAGTTCTGGTAAAAATGTTGCACGACAAGCGTCAGGGCTGAAAACTCACTTCTAAGAATGGTTTCCAGCAAAAAGACGAGGAATCGACTATCAGTTCATGAAATTTAGAATATGGTCGCCTTTTTAAATCACCTTATATTTAGATTTATAAAGATATACCATGCAGTTATGTGTCAGATTATATATTGGAAAGAAACAAAATAAAAGGATTCAAAGCTTTATTTTGTTAATATAATAAATAGGGCTGTTGAAATGAATCATTTAATCGATGCATCGCGATGCAGACTAGAAGATTAATGCATCGATGCAGGGACAGGACGTAATCGATGCTGACGAGGGTTAGAAAAAAGCTCGGTGACTTGACTCGGTGTCTCTTTAGCCGACCGCAGCACGGATTAGCATCTTCATTACAGCTAAAGGTGTGTTTAAACTGATGCCTCGCTGTCTTAAGTCCAGGATTACTAAAAGAAGGGGGCTGTGGCGGTGACTCGTGATAAAGTGAGCGGCTGTAAACACAGTTGACTCCCGACCATAGACTGTAAATATTACTCCTGACACAGCGTCATCGAGAATCACGGCAAGTGCACCTCCTCAATGATAAACACATTCTATAAAAGTCCCCGGCCTATCTGAAATTGTACTGCTTTTAATGTGAAACATTCATAACAGGAAATGGGGTCTTTACAGCCGTAGCAACCTAACACAACTCGTCTGAACTAAAGAGGATAGAAGCAAAACTAACCCTGAACAAAGCTCACAGCTAAAGGCTACAACGTCCTGAGAAGAGAACACACAGTGACTTAAAAACATATTTCACTCGTATAATAAACTAAACACACAAAAACGTAAACTTATCGCCTATACTGTAGGCTACCTCCATAATGTATTAATTTTAACTTACAATGTAAAGATATTGATAATGACATTGTTGTCTAAAGCACTTTTTAAATGATACAAAATTAGTTCATATTTATAAGACTGTTTGTCTCTGTTTATGAAAAAGTAGCCATGTGCAGTAATATAGAAAATTGAGGATGAATCGTAATGCATCGTGATATCGAATCTAATCGAATCGTTGACTGGATAATTGTAATCGAATCAAATCGAATCGAATCGTAAGACCAGTGAAGATGCACAGCTCTAATAATAAATGTCTTTGTAGTTAGTTTTGTCTGATAATTTACAGAAGAACACAAATTCATGATTAAGCCACTGGAAACTAAATGCACCTTTATCCTCCTTCATGTATCTTTGTCATGTAGCGCCTTATATGCATCATAGGAAGAATCTGAAAATGATTAGAAATGAGTTATAAAATATCTCATCTAAGTTTCTGCAAACTGAGGTTGGAATGCTCGCTTTTGGCTCGGGTATTTTAATTAATACTTTTCAAAAAACAATTGTAGTGTAGGTACAAGTATCTCCAGTTAAGTTAGTGAGTAGAGAGGCTGTCACAGAGGTCCTGGTCTAGGATGCTTTTTCGCTGCAGACTGACAGCAGAAACCTTTTCTGTGAGGAAGTCGAACAACTTCTTAATGTCTTCAACTTCCTCGGCCGACGGGATCTGCTTTGGACCCATTTAGCCCGGTGTCACTAGTTGTTTTAGCACCATTAGCTGGTCAGCAAGCTGTTAGCTTAGCGGCTAGTTTACTATTGACAACTAGCTCCGCTCCTGTTTCTTTTAGTCCTTTTTACAGCATTGGCGTCTTATAACAGACCAGAGGTCAAACTGGTGGTCTCATCAGAAGGTCCAGTGTCCATAATCCAAAATCAGCAATCAGCTGGAAAAAAAAGCCAAACAAAACACACAGGCTGTGTCTGAAATTACATACTACATAGTCAAAATATATAAACTCCATACTAACCCGACCGTTCGCATGCCGTTAGCAACATACTAAAGTACTGGTCACATGGTGTACTTCCGGTCCGAGCTCTGTTCAATGAGCTAGCATCAAGCTATCAACAGTATGCAAAAGTTCCTTTCTAATACAGCTAGGTAGTCATTTTAATATCATTTGGAAACTTGTAAAATGTATTTCAGCACAGCACTTTCATTTTAAACCGATAGTTGGCTGGCTTAGCGAGCTCTGCTATTGGACAGTCTGAGAGCCGCAGTGTATTATGGGAGATTTTAGCATGTCCAGTACGCTACCGATTTATACTTGCCGATCTAGTAAACACCCGGGTATTTCTCGTGTACACAAAATTGCATGCTATGATTTTGGATCATACTACAATGTGATGTAAGATTAAGTATGAGAGTTTCAGACGGACAGGAAGCTGTACGTGCCCAGGATTGCTGTTGTGTCATTCGGTATGGTATTGTGAGTTTTCCTACATTTCCCATGTCTTGTTGCACATCAGAACACTGCAATAGTTGCTGTCGGGCCTTTTGTACCTTTAACTGGCGAGCTGTTCTAGTCCCTCTATGCTGCAACTACAAAAACATCCCGTGTGTATAATCTGAATGAAACTTCCCCTCTTCACATCTACCTGAAATCTTGTGTTTTTTATTTGTGTGTCTCAGG